GCTTGCCCAGGGCTATGTTGGTTGTCTCTTTTTCCTAGGAGGCACAGTGGGGAATCAAACTTCCAATCTCTGGTTCTGCAACCAGAGATCTCAACCACTGAGATATGCAGCCAGCTCTTTCTATTTAGTATACATCTGATAAACAATGAGGAGTCAAGTCCTTGGTCTACACAACACTGCAATCTCAGAAAGTTCAGCAATGACATCTGTTGGAACTGTATCATATTAAAAGCCCATTTTTCATTCCCATTCAGAGCCTGAAGAAAAGGTTTCAATACAATATGGTTTTCAAAGATCTATTTAATGAAGACAGTTGAAAATGATCACCAGAGAGTTTAGGAAATAATGGCAGAAGTGAGAAATGTTTAAAGGAAAATTGGGAGATGGGAAAACCCTATGGGTCATAATTTGGCTGGTATGTAATGTGTATAACAACAACAATACAAAGGATTGTGGCACCTTACTTGTTTTTCCTAGATTACAATCTGGTTCCTCTGACATGTGTATCAGAGTATTCAGGCAACAAGTTCTTACAATATACAAGGCTGCAAGTGTCACTTGGTCTCCAACCCCACAATTGTGTACAAACTTGTGGCATCAATATTTTACTCCACATGTCCAAGGAAGCAACAGTGGTAAAACCTTAATCCAGAAACACTCACACTGAAATGTAAAATGGATAGGACAACCACAGAAGAATGTCTGAAGCTCCTGGGAAGAAACACAGGAAGAGAAGGAGCTTTAGGAGGAGAGCAATCATTGCTGCATTAGTGACTTTTATTCTTTTCAGTTCCTCCTGTGCCCAATTACGAAACTGCATTCTGAGTTCAAGGATCAGCTTGAGAGTTTCATATGGACAATCTTTTTTGCTGTTATGTGTTATTAAGCGGCTTATCAGGTATGGTGACCCCATGAAATGGCATTGAAAAGATCCTACCATTAACAACCTGCTCAATTCTTGCAAACTCAGGAATGTCAAGTCAGTCCACCTAATGTTGGGTCTTCGTCATTTCTTACTGTTTTTTTTTCCCTAGCATTGTTTTTTTTTTTCCAGTGAATCTTTTCTTCTCATTATACATCCAACCTAAGATAACAGCAGTTTAGTTTACTTCTGGCATGATTTCTGGCTTGATGTGATCTAGGGCACACTTACTTATTTTTCCGGTAGCCCATTATGTCCTCAAAGCTCTCTTCCAACACTACATTTTGAATGAATAATTTTTCTTCTTGTCAGCTTTCTTCATTATGCAGATTTCACATCTATACATAATCATCTGGAATAGGAACATATGGATGATCTTGGCTTTTGTCTCCAGTGACACAGCCTTACACCTGAGGATCTTTTATAGTATCTTCATAAGAACTCTTTCGAATTTCCATCTTCTGCTTTCTTGGCTGCAGCTGCCATTTTGCTTGATGATAACTTAGCAAAGGTATATGAGATCTTTAATTTCAACTTCTTCATTGCCAATACTAGTTATATAATTCTTCTGTGGTTATGATTTTGTCTTAGGTTCAGCCGTAGTCCTGCTTTCATACCTTTTCCCACCTTCATCAGTAAAAGAAGCTATACCGGGGTTGGGTGGGGGGACATTTGATTGAAACTGTGCTTCATCTTGAATCCTTACAATGATTTCCCAGCCATCTCTCCTTCAAACAACTACAGTATTAACAATTGTGGAGGGGGGTTAAAATAAAGACATAGCCCCAAGCAAGACTAACAGCTCTTAAGAAGGATGGGATGACTTAGATTGGGAAAAATAACACAGCGGACACAGTTAAACATTCCTGCCAATTTAGAAAATCTAGTAACAGGTTTCATATATCCCATCTTTTTTTGTACTGACACTTAGGATTTGGGTAGCGTGTATGGGAATAGGGGAGAAAATTCTTCCTCACATCAGTATTTTTATTCCTTTGCTTAAGTGTCAAAGCCAGCTGTCACTATCATTCATTTTTCCAAACTGTTTGGATGCAGTCCATTGGGAATTACAGCTGTGTAAGCAGCACTCAAGTGAGAGAGACTTTAGCAAGAAAATGGTTGCTAAAGTGAGTGAGAATAACTGGATCTCCCTTTTAACCTACTGTGCTCCCTGCTGTTAAATGACAAATGAGTTATGCTCTGGGGGGAAAAGAAATATCCAAACTTTAAAAAATGTTAATCAATTATGTTTATTAAAGGTATTTAAACTCTACTTTCCCCGTCTAAAAATGAGTTGTTTGCAGTGACTTTTAAAATATAACAAGTGTATTAACTAATGATGCCCTGTGTTCCTTAAATAAAGAATAGGGCATGAATTACCGGTAACTAGCAAAGTGAGATCTTCCCTTTGGGGCTGCAAGTGAGGAAGCCACTGAATCAGTAATGAAGGTTGTCATTGTGTAGTAAAACACTGCTGATGTGAAACAATCCTTGAAAATGTATCTTTTTTACTACAATTTCCTGTATACTGTACAGTCTTAAATTAAAAGAGAGAGAGAGAGTTCAGAAGGGATACTCAATATTTCTACAAGCAGTGTGCATAGTGTAAAAACATACTATGATATAGCAAAGCAGTGTGACATAAAGCTCCATTTTCACAACATGTTCAGGGGAGAGAAAAGGAAAGTTACCTAAGTGAGAATCCATTGTGGATTCCCGTCAGACAAGAGCTGTGACAATAGGCAGCGGTGATGTTTTCCTGGCAGCTGCAATTCAAGGTGACTTTAGATGGTAAAAAAAAACAACACCCTGTGAGATATCTGGGCAAGATCTCTCCATGCTGTGTCACAGGGGCACAATGCAATGGGAAATACTTAATAAGAGGCTTTTTTGAATCTCTGATTCAGTGTCATCCACATCAGCTGCTGGAAAGGGAGATTTCTGAGTCAGAAGAGATTTCAGCTAAGGTTACAATGCATTCAGGTATTTGAGGACTGAGTGAATTTTTTTAAATAAGTGGGGGAAAACATTTTTCAGATCAATTGTACAGTCCATGCTTACTTTCTTCTTCCTGCAACTTCACAATTACCTGTTTTTGTTTTTCTTATAATTGTTGAATGTGGAGATATGGGAAGATGATACATAGATAAAGGCCTTTCCCTCTACAAATCTCCCTCACAGTTATGATTACCAAGTTATCAATGCTACCATTTCTCAGAGGTTTGTGGAGCAGCAGTTGGTATCATGAAAGACACAACACGCTGTTCATGGATTCTTTTCCGAAATAGCCTGAGCAACATGATTGTCCAGGTGTTACCCAGCCTGTTGTGACAGAAGTCTAACCTTGAATCCAGGGCACTTTCGGTCAATGCCTGGAGCCTCAGAATGGCGAGTATTTCGCTCGACTCTGACCACTGTGTTTCAAAAGGAAGCAACTGTCTGAGATGCTCTTTATAGGCAACCTCTGGCCCCTGCTGCCCCACAAATATGGTTTCTCCAAAGCACAGTCCTAGTTCTATTGCCCTGTCATACATGAACAGGAAGTGTGTAAAACTGAGGTGTGCTAGCTTACAAAAAGAAAATTTTCTCATTTCAGTTCGTTTCCAAGGACCTGAGATATGGTAGCAAAAGCTGTGAACTTAAATACATATTGCTGGCAATGTTGTGGAGGGAAAAGTGTCCTTAAATTTGTGTAGAGTTTTGTTATGGTTTGCTGCTCCACAGCGTGCTGCTAAGTCCTCATTCCTGTCTCCTGCTAAGTTCCTAAAGTCTGTTCATTTTTGAAGTGCATCAGATTAGTTGCTACTATTGTCTGTGCTTGTTTTGTGACAGCAATGGCGGGTTACAACAAATCACAAATTGCTCAGTCAACTGCAATATATCTGTGTTCCTCTCATGCCTGAATTCTCAACAGTACATTCAATAAAGGGTTCTTGTCTGTAAATGCTGGACTCATTAAGCTTCTAGAGGAGGGCTCACTTGCTTTTTTATTTATTTATATCCTGACTCTCTCACAATACAGGGACTCAAGGCAACACGCAAGTGGTTAAGCAACAGATATGGCTACAATTAATTATATTTAAGTTTAGTTAAAATACGTTACCATATACTATAAACACAACCACTGAATTAAAACATCTTAAAATAATGTAAAATGACACAATAAACATTCACCGTTTTTTGGAACAACAGCTCCCACTACTCAGCACGGCCAGTGCATTAAAATTCTAGGAGTTGTAGTTTTTAAAAAAAGGAACTTTAGGAAATACAGCGTATTAGCACAGCTGATCTTCAAGCTCTGTTACACCCTTCTATCAGTTTAGCAGCTGCTGGAAAAAAGTAGAGAGTTAGAACAGAACAGAAGTATTTGGATAATTTGCCAAAAGTTTTTTTGGAAGAAAATAAAAGGAATCATGAAAACTGCCAGAGCAACATGTGAGTCGAAAACACCAAATAAGATGACGAAGCAAAGGGAACTGGTGCAGAAAGGGTCAGGGAGGCCTGGCCAGACAGCTAAGTGCTGCCCTCTGACTGACTGGTTTCTGTTTTTCTAACTTGTTCTTTCAGAGTTTTGAGGCATGAAAAGGAAAGTGAGTGGCGTAGAGGTTTTCCTTGGGAAAGATGCTTAGAAACAGGGTGGTCTGAGAAAGGGGGGGGGTGGGGGGGGGGTTGGGTGAGAGGGCAGAGAGGAAGCCACAGAGACATTATCAGACTGAAAGAGAGGGCATTGCATGAGAGACAGACAGAAGCTGTACCACTTTTGCAGGGAGGAAAAGCTGTGGAGCCGGAGAATGGGGATGCTCTTCCCATCAATTCCATTAACACTTCCCCACAGGCTCAGGCTTCTGTAAATATTTAGAGTATCCACCAGGGAATAGATACAGCGGCACGGCAGCAGCAGAACTGGACCTCCCCCCCTCCCAAGCCCCCCAAGGTGGAAAAAATGACACCATCATTTCTTAATACCAACAGGCTGACATCAGCATCCCTGGCAGGTGGTGATTGGCCACGTAGTCTGGCCAATGGAACGGCTCCCCCTCAGAGAGGAGGGGGGGAGAACCCAAGAGCAAAGAGTTTTTAAAAGTTGCAGGGAAAGCCGGCGGGAGGCAGATCCAACGTGCACGGAGCAAAACACCAACACTGCACTGAGAGGCAACACCCCACGTGTGCAACATGTCTTCAACGCACTTCAACAGGGGCCCAGCCTATGGCATGTCAGCTGAAGTCAAAAGTAAGGTAAGGAACAGGTGTTTGACAACTGGGGGCTTGGGGGACTTAGCACCACACTCCATGGAGCAGGGCTTCCTAATGGATGGGGTTTCATCTCAGTTGTCTTGCAGCCCTGATGCCAACAGGGCATCTACGAGAAATAGATCATGACATTTTAAGGCATCTTGCTAGCCAACCACAGCTTTCTCCAACCTGGGATCTTCAAGATGTCTTCCAGTATGTCATCTTCAGTAGGGTGGTTGTGGATGTTGGTAACTATAGTTCAGCACAACAGGCTGGAGAAAACACGAATAACCAGAAGGATCAGGAGGTGGGGGAGCAGTTTTATGTTTAGGTAAGAAGCTCAGGCAAAGTGCGTGCCAGGAGAGAGAATGTTGGGAGATACTGGAAAAGACATACAAACATTGACAGCTACTTTTTTTAAAAAAAGGCACCTCTGCTTTTATTTGAGGGAGTTTGTTTGTTTTTTCTTCTAAAATATGGTTTCTTTTAATAGCTCTGAAAAACAGACAGGTTAATTATAGCCATTACGCAGTTGCAAATGGTCACCACAGAGCGAGTGCCAGATAGACATCAGAGGCAACAGACAAAGGGGACCATTGTCTTGATGGTGATTCCAGGCATCCAACTAAAGCAGTGCCTTTCAAGGGTTCAATGAGGTTTCCATACAGATGCATTCAGATTTGACAGTCCTCATCATGGGCAAGTAGGGCATGAAGGTATCCCTGGGTGTACCCAGGCTGGGCGAAAAGCAGCTTGCCTAGGGCGCTCTCTATTACATATTTATTGGCAGTAGGCATGATGCAAACCAGGAATTCAAGGTCAGAACCAGCAAACATATTGTAACTACTAAGAGGGATACACTTAACTATCTTGTGTCATAGTGTATATTTGCGTGATATCTCACTATTCTTCCATCTTAGAGATATGGAACTGTTACTGAGGTAAAGGCTATGTCAACAGCCAATCAACTCCAAACCTTAGCCTTCTGAGTCTTTATATACTGTTTAGGATAATGCCTGATTTTTGTTTTGGCAAAATATAAGGTTTTTATAATGTGAATGTTTTGCTCAGTGCAAAATTTTATGATCAAATTAACAACACAGTCCTGTCTAACCTGATCACCCAAAAATATTTCAATCAGTGACGTGTTCCCACAGAAAGGTGGATGAAGAAGTCAGACATTTCCCACCAGAGCCACTGCCTAGGCCTAACAGGACCTAAAGTATCCCTGACCAGACACTGTCACAGCAGCCATGCTGGTAGAAGCATATATTTCTCTTTTCCAAGAGAACAGTCTCTAGTTTCTGATACCCGTACTTAGTAAAATGTTTTCCTGATCTTCACTGTTCATGGGTACCACATGCAATGGAATTTAATCTACCAGGGTTATGCATGAAGGTTACTTGTCCTTTTTTATTTAAAATTAAATGAAACGGATTAATACTCTACCTTCCCAACACCATGAAACTCAACAAAAGTATGTTCATAGGAAACTTAGGCAGCATCCCACCCCATATCTGATGGCCTAAAGCAGCTAAGCTACCCTCAGGCTACCCATTATGACTGTGATAGAGCAGTGAGAGGAATGGTTTCCGGAGGGTGCCCTACTTCATTTTAACTTGTGATACCCACTTCCCATCCTCGATGTATCTTTAGAGCCATAGATCAGCCAGTTCTTACAGTTAATGCTATGAGTAAGATTTTGTATTCCAGTGGATGCACTATGGGAATTAGGCCTCTTTTGCCTCAGCAGTCAGGCCCAGCAGGTTCAGCCTGAGAAAACAGAGTAGCCCAAGCCATATACTGAGTTGACCAGCATGTTAATCTGTGACTAAGAAGTGCCATTTGCATTTTCCCTTTTGGACACCAGAAGATCACAGTCTGATCTCTGGACCTAGCATAGGCAGTTGTTCCATGGCTTAGCAGTTCTTCTGTCAGTACCTGGAAATGTAATGAGTCTCCCACTAACTTGAATACCCTATAAAGCTTTGTGGGGCAAATTACAGTATTTTGACCAAAATCCTGTTAGTACAGTCCTAGACTTTTTTCCCCACAGTACAGCAGTAGGAGCCACTTTATTTCAGAGTTAGCCCAAATCTACAAGCCTCAGCATCTGGCACAAGCAACATTAATCTGGGAAATATTTCTCAGATTGTACAGGATACTCACTGCTGGGGAAGAAGCTGTCATTCAGTGAGAGAACTCGGACTTCACATGCAAAAGATCCTATGTTCAATACAAAGTATCTCAAGGTAGAAAAGAGTTTTCTGTCTGAAATTCGGAAATAGTGATAATATTGAAATAGACAGAGAAATGATCAGACTCAGAATGACCTGACTCACAACTGCTAGTGTACCAAGGGTCCATTTAGAGTTGACTACTTTGGGAGCACAGATCTTCCTGCCTGTTCCATTTACCACATTACCAGCTTCTCCTCTTTGTATACCGCATGGTGTTTCTCCCAGGGTTCCTCTGGATTTCTGGCTCCATCAAAAGGCCAAACTGTTCCCTCCCCTCCACAAGCTGCATTCTTCAGCTACCGTCCTGGCCAGCACTCCCCATTCTGCTGCTGGAGTCTGGGCAGCAACAGACTCACCATATATGGACAGTTTTGGGGTTTCTTTGTAAGCTGGTTCTATATAAGGCATGGTTTGGCAGGATGTGTATCTTGCAAGCAGCAGAGTATCTGCACTAAGTCTTCAGGTGGAGAAGACCACCAATACCACTACACTTCCAGACTCCCAAGAACTCCTTGCATTGTATGTGGCCACAGTTTCTTTCTTTCTTTCTTTTTTTAAACTTTAAGGGGAAACAAAACCCTTTGCTTTCATTTTCAAAGTTAAAGTGAGAGATTAAACTTATCCAAATTCTTATTGATAATTACAGATAAAACATTTTGAGCTTTGGAAGAACCTTCCTCTATGAGGTGCATCTGGTGCCCCTAGAGATGGGCTGCGTCTCTACCTTGGTCCCGCCCCCAGTACAAAAACCCTGAACCAATTCCTCCTGAGGCAGGAGTCTGCAGATTTTTGAATTGTACTACTAATAATTCATTTTATCATTAATATGAAAGCAAATTTGTATTAAAAATACAAACCAAAAGAACAGCAGCTATAGCAGCCACAACTAAAAAAAACTGAGCCTCCAATGGCTAACGCATTTTAAACAAGACAAAAATGTGGGAAAATAAACTTGGCTTGGGTATGGAGGCCCTTTCTGTCAGAACTAATGAAACATCTCTGGATTTGTAAACATATTGTTTTCTAAAACAAAGAAATACAGAATCTTACTGTTCTGTTTGGTCCAGTGCATTTCAGAGTTAAGGTTATAAAATCTGTCTCTGCTAAGATAAATCAAAAACATTATCATTGTACTAAGTTCTTTTACTCTTCTGTAGTGACTTGGGAGTGCTTTAGCTATGGAAATAGCTTCAGTCTTTCTAACTACCATTTTCTGGCAACCAGCACATAAGATATATCACTTTGTATAATGGTTGGCCATCTGATTTATGTTAAATCAGATGGCCAAATCAGATTTATGTTAAATCAGATAGTTACCAAAACAAGAAGGAAATAACCACAGGCACTACAAAAAGATTCTAACCACACTTGAAACTATGCTAATGTGTTTTTTGCTTCTTCTAATTCTCTGCATTTTGACATTCCTCCTTTGCAAGAGAGGACATGGTCTCCTCTTGCATTAATTTTGCTCTGCCTTCCATAGGGCTGGCCTACCATTAGGGAAAGTGACATGGCCATTTTAGGTGGCAAATATTTGAGGCTCGTCGTTCATAGTTTAGTCGTTTAGTCGTGTCCGACTCTTCATGACCCCATGAACCAAAGCATGCCAGGCCCTCCTATCTTCCACTGCCTCCCAGAGCTGTGTCAAATTCATGTTGGTTGCTTCGATGACACTGTCCAATCATCTCATCCTCTGTCGTCCCCTTCTCCTCTTGCCGTCACACTTTCCCATCAAGGTCTTTTCCAAGGAGTCTTCTCTTCTCATGAGATGGCCAAAGTATTGGAGCCTCAACTTCAGGATCTGTCCTTCCAGTGAGCACTCAGGTTTGATTTCCTTTAGAATTGATAAGTTTGTTCAGAGAATAAGGTGTTGGAGGGCAAATGTCCCCTGTGATGTGCTTTGACATTTAACCATGCTACCTTCAGGTGCAAAAATCTGTTTCTAACTGAATAAGACTCAAGCTGAAGTTTAGTTGAGTTCATACGGAGTGAGAGAAACCATCATTTTGTCTTTAATTTCATCAAAATGTCTTGGGCCTCCCCTGCTTTACAGAAACTGGAAAAGGGCTAGAGCAGATGAACCAAGAAATCTTTGCTGGATTTGATTAATAAGAAAGCTGATAAATGTAATAGCTTGATAGCTGGATGTAGCTCTTCTTATTTGAGGGCCTACTTGTTTTATCACTATATTTTGTTGTGGACATTAGGATGCTTTTGCAACACAAGAGCTAGAACTACATGCAGATTGGATGTTCTGGAGTATCACCAGTTAATTTTGTTTTGGAAAATGCAGTGTTCTTCACCATCTTTTTAAGATGAATTGGGTTTATCCTTTGATAAACCCAAATCAGCTTAAAAGGATGGTGACAAACACTGAATTTTCCCTGTAGCAAAACAGTAAGACATAGGTGCAGATAATGAATGGCATGCAGCACTCAGGTCTCCTAAAACATGGGGGAAATATCCATTTTGTTCCCAAAATGTACATTTTGTCCCTCAAATTTTCTCTGATGGTGTTGCCATGCAAAAATATTTGCCAGATAATTGTATTTTCACCCATTGGGGCTATCTTAGGATGGGATGCAGTGCCCCTTGAGCCTTGGGTCTGTGTGGGGAAAAAAAGGCCTCTGAAGTCTACAAAGTTTCCTGGCCCATCCCTAGGAGGACACGGCACAATTGGAAGGGGGGGGGCAAGATTTCCTTCTTGTTATAAGCCATGATTTGTCTGTGAAATGAAGGAAATTCTGTTTTACTGGAGGCGTT